TTGAAATATGATGCACATAGAAAGTTATAAGTTGAATTTTTTTATACATGTTATGATTGAATCATTAAAAATTAATGAAAATAATAAAACCTAAATTGAGTATTACTCTTAACAAGTCACCAAGAATTTTATTCAATCAAACACAAAGCTTGATGTAATATTTTAGTTAGAATTTTGCAAAATTAGATTAAGGCCAACTCAACTTCAATTTCAATGAAATCATATTATCAAATATATTGATCAAACAAGCCAAACAATATTATAAGTGATATGATCAAAATCCGCATGAACCAAAATTAAGCATTTAAAGCATACTTGAACATTTTTTATATTAATCGAGGGATCAAATAATATCCAAATATTGCATGTTTACGATCAAAACAAGCAATTCAGCGAGAGAAATCCAATAAGACAAAGATCAAATTGTTTTGATATCTTTAAGGTTGTTAAATATCTAAGGAATTATCAATATTAATTTTGTGAATCAACATTCAATAGAGTGTTTTGAGCATTTAGAAAAATTTACTAAAACACCACCATTTTTATATGACATGAACTTTGAATTGAAATTGAATAGAACTCAAAGATCGAAAAATAAATAGCCCAATTTGACAATTGATGCCAACGATCACTTTAAACAATCATATCGTCTGATTGCCACCATCCTACTACCCCCACTTGATAGCCATGACCATATATCCATCTCTCAATTGCGGTTGCCTAAATTTTCACCGCCGACTATCATCATTTGATTATTATTGCTCGACTTTCACAACTTCACCAACATCTTTTGACAACCATTGTCTAACTTTTATTGTCAGAACATCATCACCCAACTTTCATCTCTTGATTAATATCATCTAACAATTATATCCCTCAACTATTTCTTTGTGCAATCCATATTAGAGGCATAAAAGGCCAAACTAGTGTTCAACATTTTGTGATCTAGTCTTTTGAAGTTGAGTGGATGAACATATTTCTAAAATCATGCCTTAATATTTTTTTTTTCTTTTTCTTATTTTCTACTTAAAAAATTTTAAGTCTCTTGAAGCTTTTTTTATTATTCATTTGTGTAATAAACCTTGAAACAAAGGTAAAAAATTAAACTCTCTCTACTATCATAAATATTGTTGCACAAAATATTTATATTTTTTGAGATTGGGATAATGCTATTGCAAAAATGTAGTAGTTGATTATTATAGTTACAAATAAATAATATTTGAGTGCTATGGAAGAAACATAACTTTTCTTACTAAGTGAAGTGATGTTTCTTCCACATCATAAACATAGTATGCATAATGTCATATATATTTTTTATTTGAATCCGACTTATTTAAAGAATGTGATTTATTTGGATAATTTTTTTTTCTACTTTGTTTTCTAACCATAATCACATTGGTTTTTTATTAATAGTTTTTAGAATGAGTTTTAAAATTGTTTCAATTTAGAACAACTATTTTATGATCATACTCATGCTTCATTTGGGATAGTTTTTTTACTACTTATTAAAGCAGCTTTTTAATACGCAAATTTATAGTTCAAAAAGTTTTTGTACTAAAAGGCTGATTTAAGAAGCAGTAAGAAAGCCATCCCAAATAAAACCTCGGTCATATGTTTCAATTTTTTTGATATATTCCATCTTTTATTATATAAATATTGGCCTATATTTAAAAAATTATATAATAATTAATAATAACAACGTTTTCATAAGAGCTCTTCCCCAACACCCTTTGCTGTTTGGATGCAAGGAGGATAAGTAGGATTATCAAATCTTGTAAATTTGAATTTGATAAATTTTATATTAGTTAAATTTTGAAAATTTGTTGTGTGATTTAAGTTAAATCTAGCTAAACTAAAACAAATTGTTTGAATATTCAATTCATTATTCGAAAATTCTATTATTTTGATATTTCGTCATTAAACAAGGATTATTTATTAATTAATAATTTATTGTTAATTAACTCATTAATATTTATATAAAATAGTATCAAACTTATTTAAATAATTTTTTTTATTGTTTATTTTATTTTATGACTAATAGGATATATATCTAGCTTTTTAATTAAAATATTTATAGAATTGAAATTTTTATCAAATTAAAATAAAATTATAATTAGCATGATCTAATATCTTTATTAATTTCTATTAATTTTTTTAATTAATTAAATATATCATTTTTCATTAAAGTAAAGTTATAAATCATATTAAATTTATAAATTATGTCTAAAATTAATAAATATTAATTATTAAGATTAATTTACTCATTTTAAATAATCTTCTATTTAATTAATATAAATTAATATTTACAATTTTTAGAATTATCTAAATTTATAAGAAAGTAATTGCAAAATAGTTTCTAAAATCCCAAACCCAAAATAGGCTATTTAAATCATACAGAATCTAATCAATAAATAAAATATTTATTAATTAATTATTTGTTAAGTTAATTAACATATCATTTCTATTTAGATAAATTATAGTATCAATTATTTTTATTATGATTTATTTTATTTATAACAAGATATTATATTAATAATATTATATATATATTATATATATATATTAATATATAATATAATATATATAAATATCTAAACTTTTCTAATTAACATTACAGTTAACGCTAATTCATTTTTTGGTTGAACCATTATATTAACAAAGTATTTCTTTATTAATTATTAATTACTAATTATTAATTAAATAAATATAATAATTTTTATTGAAGTAAATTGTAAATAATATTAATTTACATGAATTAATGTCTAACAAATTAAGAAATATTAATTATGAAGATTAGTTTACTCATTTAAATTAATTCTTCTACGATTTGCTCCTTTCCTTCCTTAGCCTACGCCCTACGGTTTGCTTTTCTCTTTTATTTCTTCCTTGCTGTTCTTCTTCGCCTCCTTCGACGCTGATCTACTTCGCTCCTTCGACGACGTTCCCTTCCTGTTGGATCGGAAGTTACGACATTTTGATCGGAAGCAACATCGGAAGAAACGACGGGAGCTTGCTCGCTGTGAAGGTAACTTTCTACCTTTCGCGCTTTTCTTCGGCCAAATCCCGTAAATCCGCCGAATCGAAGGATTTCATAAATCCGGGATTTGACACGAAAAGATGGATTTTTCCGTCAACAGAGGCTTAGATTTACCGTGAGATTTGGTTTTTCATTTTTTGTCGTTTGGCTGGATTTCGCTCAAATCCGCCCCAAATCCGCCCCAAATCCCGTCTTAAATCCTGCATCCAAACAGCCCCTAAAGAGTTGAGCTTTCGACTTGTGCCTGACTGTGTACTAGTTATTAGATTGGTGGTTTGGCTTCCACCAATGAAATCTGTACTTCTGCTTTCTTATATCTAGCCAGCCTTATTAAATAGAATCAAACATCTGTCATGCTGCTCTCTCTCTTAGAGGACTGATTTTGCTGAATTATGTGGTGGCTTATTTGCTAACTTCTGACAGTTGACCTGCTACTATTTATGTAGAATTGCACCTATGATATCCTGGATATTTCCACCAAACTAAGTTCTGTAATAACAGTGAAACGAAAAGTTATTATGGTCTCTTTAAATTGTATATCCACCATTCTTATCTCAATGTGATCAAGTGGCTTTGTGTGAATATAAATGGGAGACATTTTTTTACTTGCGGGTTTTTTTCCTACCTTAGTTTTGTTCTATTAAAAATTTGATTTCACTATGTGCAGCTCGAGTTTCTTTTAATGTTCAACAGCAGCTTTTCATTGCTCATATAGCTATATACATATGTTCTTGAGGCATGGCAGCAAACTTTTATTTTACATATGCACATTTTGATGTTTTATTTAGTAAATCTCCCCTAGAAGGTATATATAGAGGTTGATATGTCTCACTCGTCTGACATAAAGCTTCGTGCTAATATTGCAAGGGAATGGGTCTTTGTAATGTCTGGATTGTCCTCTCAACCCTTTTATGTGAATATAATTTGATTAAGGATTCGTTCGGGACGGTTTTTTATGCTTCTTAAAGCAGCTTTCTAGTACAAAAATAAAATTTTTTGTACTAAAAAATTACGTTAAGAAGCAATAAAAAAGCTTTTCCAAACGAAGCCTAAAAGTTCCCCATCAGATTTTGGAATAAATAAAAATAGGGACACCACTACATCATCTCTACCCATTTTAACATTCAATGAGTATATACACTAGCTGTTGTAATGTTGATGTGAGGCTTGTGAGCCATAAATATAATTTGGTTTCTTTTTGATTGGTTGATTCAGCAAAATTCAGTAAATGCCTTTGCTCTTTCGTTAGAGATTGAGTCTTACTAAATTGCTTGTTGTTTCATCTTTATTTAATGTTGGGCAGTAGCCTCGTTTCTCCCTCTTACTCTTCCAACGACCTATATGACTATGTGTCTTCAAATATCTCATTTGTTCAGCCCAGGATTTATGTTGGTATGAGCAGAAATGGATTTGAGCATATATATTTTAATATCACTCTAATATTATCAAGTATATCCATGTGTGTATAAATTCATATGCATATAAATATGACATGCCTTTGTAACTGAGCATTTTAGAATCATTGGAGCATGTTTTGGGAAAAATAGGGAAGACAAACCAGTCGTCTAAACCTTCCCATGTGTATATACTTGCTCATTGACTCCTACACTTTATCTGGGTCACTTAGATGCCAATATATTCATTCGTTGAAGGAATTCACTACTAACTCTCAAATGGAGAATGTTTGCTATTTGTCTGGATGTATGTAATATTTTCAGCAGGATCTTGAAGATTATTCCAGGTATGCAATATTTATTTATGTACTCATTTTCATGTCTTGGACAAGTCATTTTTTAATGAAATAAAAAAAATATCGAGTTTCTTTATTATTATCACCATTCCATCACTAGGTTAATGTACTCAATGCTAGTGTTCCCATTCTAATTTGGTAAACCATACAATCTGATTCCTTGATTTCAATTAAATGTTGCAGATTTCGTGTATATATATATATATATATATATTATGTCAGCTATTTAACATAATCTTGGAAAGTGTAGTTATCTTTTCTTTATGCTCTTATGTCTGTGAAGTATGTATAACATCATATAATAGCCAAAGAAGCATAAACATCTGTGCATTATGATAGCCAATATTTCGTTGATATTCACTTCTACTTGCATGGAGATCTAGGTTAGTAAATAGTGGAGATATAATAAACATATACTACATTTTCTTAGCCTCTTTTCTTTTCCGATGCTTAAGATAAGACAACTTAGAGCATAAAACCTGCTTTGTCCCCTATGGTCCTGGTAGGAAATGTTGGATATAACTTCTTTAATTAGCTGCTTGATCAATACATCATACAATGTCATTATCCTTCATCTATTCGATGTAGAACTTTCTTCTCAAACATTTTTTTTAATCTTGTAAAACATCATTGAATAATAAAACATCTCCATGCATTTCTTTTACTTGAACTACCAGTGCAGAAAAGCTTTGTTTAATATAATATCATCTTCTTTTTCTTCATGCAGAACATATCAGTAGTAATAATGATGAGTGGAACAGGTAAATTACCTCAAAAGCGCAAAGTTCCTGCACTGCCAGAGAATGAGAAAAAGCTCTATGATTTGATATGGAGTAAAGAGACCTTGGGAATATGGACTGCAGACATGAAAAAGGAAACTGGCCTCCCGAACAATGCAGTGACAAAGGCCCTCAAGTCCCTCCAATCCAAGGGCTTCATCAAGGATGTGGTGAACATCCACAACAAGGCCAAAAAAATTTACATGGCCGTTGAATTTGAACCTTCAAAGGAGATATCAGGAGGAACTTGGTATTCAGAAGGAAGCCTTGATCTAGAATTTATAACGATACTGAGAAAACAATGTAGGCTGCATGTGGAAAGGTTAAAAGTTGCAACTTTGGAGAATGTTTGGCAATTTATTAGGGATTCTAAGGTTTTCTATATAGATTTCAGCTTGCAGCAAATTAAGGAGATTATGAGTGCCATGGTTTTGGATAAGGAGCTGGAGGAGTTGATAAGCTCAGGTGTTGGTGATTTCTTTCATATTCGAGCAGGAAGGGAATGTTATAGGAGCTTGAAGGGTAGAGATGGACCTAAAGAAGGATTTTTTTCAGCAGTTCCTTGTGGAGTGTGCCCGAGGATAAATGAGTGCAGTCCTGATGGTATTATCTCTCCCAATACTTGTGTTTATTACCAGAAATGGCTAGGGCTAGACTATTAGGCCGACGCCCCGTAGTGGGATGAAGGTTTGATGTTGTTGTTTTTATGAGTTTGTGTTTTGAATTATTGATGTTTATTTGATGATAATTTAATAAAGGGGTATTTTTTTTTTTTTGAAGGAGGCTTATTACAATGGCAATTGGCAAGTCAGCTTGTGCATTCATGTAGATTGGCCTACATTAGGGGTGTAAACGAGTCGAGTTTAGGCTCTTATTGAGCTCGACTCGTGAGCTCGATAAGCTCGGTTCGCAAGCCCATAAACAAGTCAAGCTCGAGCTGGCTCGGCTCACTTACACCCCTACCCTGCATTAAGGAAGACATATTTGGACAAGTGCAGCAACCCTATATGGTTTGGTTTGGGAAAACTATTTTATTGTTTTATAAATCAACTTTTTAGTACAAAATTTTTTAATTAAAAAAAATTATACTACAAAATTACTTTAAGAAATAGCAAGAAAGTCGTCCTAAACAAAGTTTAAGGCTTCGTTTGGGATGGCTTTTTTTACTTTTTCTTAAAGCATATTTTTAATTTGTACTAAAAAGTTATTTTAAAAAGCTGTAAGAAACTAAACGTGCTGGTCAAACCAACCTCTACTCGGATTCAGTCTGATTCAGATTGAAGTATGGATCAGGCTGGGGTTGAACTAAACCTGCTCGAACTCTTTGATAAGCTATTAGCATCTGTCATGAAAAATTAGGAAGATATTGAGTTCTTTTTGGTATTTGCATAATCATCCTGACCTAATCAGGCAGTTAGCCTAAAAACTCATGAAATGATAATTTACTTGCATATAAATGTAAATAATTATAACTTAACTATTGTGTATGAGCAAGATCAAGGTAATTATCAAATAAACTTTATGATTAGATAGCTTCCAAGGTTGTTTACTAACAATAAACGATGCAAAAAAAACATAGAAAATAGCTTCATGGACAAATAAATGAGCTTTAAAATGCAGCAAAATTAATTAGAGTAAGATTTGTAATATTTTGTATTTTGATTCAAACAAATAAAAAAATTTTTAGGAGTCGTTATAAGTCAAATTTAAAAATTATTTTCATCATAAGATAAATATTATTGAATTTTAATTATCATAATTTTTTCGTAATTTTTGAATGTTAGTCTAAATCCTTAAGAAATTGATACTCATCGATACATGTGAGAATTTTGATTTATTTTTATTTTCAACAATTTTATATTTTTTGACATTTTTTTGATTAATTTTATATTTCGTTATCGAAAACTGGAGATGATTTTGTATTGATAAAACTTTCATTGTATAACTTTTAGTATGTGATGGATCTTGTCAATATGAGTATTTTGACTGAAACATATTAAATTGTCACAAGTTAAATTTAAAGTTATGATTTTTTAAAGTAAATACATAATAGACAGATTTGATAGATTTTTTTAGTATTTATAAATTTCTACATTTCATAGATGATTTGACTTGCATTTCATAGAAAAGATAGCATTTATATGTAAGTAAGGAAAGGCTGATTGTTAACATTATAATGAATATGGGTTGATTCTAAAAATATAATACATTGTGCAAAAGGATGAGTCGACGGGCTTTCCTTCAAATAAAAGTCAGTGGTATAATATTAATTGTATCATTTAACTGATTGACTAAATTACGCCAACGGGTAGAGGATGACGACTCTTAAATGATTATTAATTTCTCCTGTGAAAATAAATGACTAATACAAATAAATAAATGATAAGATGAAATTGGTAGATTGATAGTTATGAAAAATAACAAATGTATGGAAGAAAATGTTACATTAAAGCTTGATTATCATGCTTTACTTTACATTAACAAATTGATAGATATAACTGCATTCTTATTAGAATTAATATTGATATAACATAGCATAACATGTTAGCATAACTTACTAGATGACTTTGTTGATCATATTAAATTTATAATTAATTTTTAGGATTTTTATTCTTCATATTAAGTAATGATTGATATTAACTAAAGGTCTAAAACTGAGCACGCATATTGATTCATTTGCCTTAAATAGAAAGTAGTAATAGAGTTTTTGTTACTTGCTTGGCTTTTATGCTCATTATATGAATTTTTATAATTTCAGGTCAGGGAAGTGGTCAGGACCAATTGGAGTGAGGTTGATAGATATTCTAAAGTTTTCAATTAATTTTATTTCTATTTTTTCTTATTCTTTTGTAGTGATGAGTTTATGATAGAGTAGCCATTATATTGATCTTTTGGCTATTGTATATTAATTTTGGTAATATAGTAAAATATTTGGAGGTATATTATTATTAGTTGCTTTTACTGGATATAAATTTATTATGATGATGATTTATAAAAGTTATGGTTGATTAATTAAGAAGGTAAAATAAATAATTCTTTCAAATTTGATTCTCAGGCATTAATATTAGTATCAGAGCAATTGTTGGAAGAATCTAAATGTAACGAGAGCTATATGAATTGATCATGAGTGGGGTAGAAGTTGAGTAGTATAAATTTTCATTTCTTCATTTGATTAATTGAATTACATATGAGTAATTGATTAAGGAAGAGGATTTTATTTATGGATATATAGACCCTACTGATCAGGATACACATAATGAGTAAAGTGTAGTAGCAACTCCAGTGAGTTCTAACAGTTTGATGCAGCTACTTAGTATGCTTGCACAAGCTATGAGTAAAGCTAAGAGTAGACATGTCTGATATAAGAAGTCAGAATGGGACATATCTAAAGCAGTTTTATAAGTCGAAGCTTATGTTATTCAAGGGAATTGTACAGTCACAAGCAATAAAAGATTGGTTGTTGAGGATATATAAGATATTTTACGGCATGCAGTGCTTAGAGAATTGAAAAGTACCATTTGTCATGTTCCTATTTGAAGGAAAAGTATAGAGATGGTGCATAGGACAACAACAGGAGAAAATTCAAGGAAAGATGAATGCAGAGATCACCTGGATAGAGTTTGTTACTATTTTTAGAGACTGATTTGTACTTTTGTCAGCCCGATAGCAAATGTAGGAGGCTTTCATGAGATTGGAGCAAGGAAACAGGATAATGATGTAGTATGAGGCAAAGTTTATTGCACTGGCCAGCTATGCACCTCAACTAGTAAATATTGCTGACAAACATTATTATAAGTTTTTGAGATGATTAAATGATGAATTGAGGCATCCGCTTATACCATTGAGGATTCAAGAGTTTTCGAAGCTGTTTGAGAGAGAGAGACTGGTGGGGAAGGACTTGGCTATTCAATTTTTCATACAAGATATGAGTAAGAAGAGATCGGGAGAGGATATAACTAGGAGAGATAGAGCAGCAAAAAGAGGGGTATATTTTCAAATAGTAAAAGAGGATATGCATTTGAGTCAAGTGTGGGTGTACTAGAGTGTGTATGATGTCGTAATAGACATAGTGGACCATGTTTTATAATGATTGGATAGTGTTTTTGATGTGGGAAGCGAGGACACCAGATCAGTGATTGTCCACTATAGCGATGGGGGACAATATCTGAATTCATAGGGAGTAAACCAAGAAAGGCTATAAACAAAGAATTATGGGATCTAAACAATACAGTGAAGGGTTTGTAAGCATGACAAATGGAAGAAGAGTGGTTAAAAATCAAAGAGGAGCTACACAGGCCACTTGTACGACCCAAAGTTTTTAGTTTAATCTAGCATGATGATAAGACTACGCCTGGAGGATCCACTGTTAGAATGTTCAATCATTGAATTGATTGATTAATAATTTGCATATTATATTGTGGTTAAATGATATGTAGGGTTATGATTGTTTTGAATGAATTCATGATTGATTGCATGCATTGTTTGGAAAATTTTGAGTGAATTTCAATTGATTTATTAGTTTTGATATTTGTTTTGAATCGTATTGATTTGTTTTGAAGGATTTATGAATTGAATTTATTTCTATTGATTTGTTTTGTTCGAGGAAATGTGAGTGCGATATTTTTCTAAGGTGGGGCGATTGTAATAGTCTGTATTTTGATCAAAATAAATAAAATTTTTAGGATTCGTTATAAGCCAAAATTTGAAAATCGTCTTCACCATAAAATAGAAATTATTGTGTATTAATTATAATATTTTTCATAATTTTTTGACACTCGTGTAAATTCTTAAGAAATTAATATATTTCAGTACAAATGAAAATTTTGGGACCATCATGTTTACGTTTTACAAATCGGTTTCATTAGTATTTTCTAAATAAACCAAGCTATTTAATGAATATTTTTCTTAAACTTTTGAACTCACCAAAAGATTTATATGGATTTTATACTAAAAAATGATTAAATTATATAATTATAGATTAGCTAATTTTGTTGTAAATAGATCTATAATCTAAGTATTAGGATATGTACATTAGCTTGTTTTTCTTTTTTAATTATTTCGTATTAGAATTGGATCATATCATTACCTAATTGATAGGCCAAATGATACTGCTTATTCTGTCTGAGAAAGTGCATTCAGATCATTTTTTTCTCATTCATTTTAAGATAACACAAATAAGTGATGAAGCGTAGAAAAAATGAATAGCATAGTCAGTGAAGTAGTGAACTAAGCTACTGTACTAAAAGAGAAACTAATCAGCAGAATCAGATGGATTACTAAATTCATTTGTTCTGCTTTGAATAATATAAGGAAGAATGTTCTGTGTCTTCTGTAAGCTTAGCAATGTCTAAATTTAATACAATTTTCTTCAAACATAATAGCATACATTCATATATGTAAAATCAAAAGCTGGCTGCTAGGGGTGTAAACGAGTCAGGCTGAGCCAACTCGAGCTTAACTCATCTAATGAATGAACAATGAGCTCAAGCTTGAGCTTAAGCCGAGCTTGTGTATTGAGCTCAAGAAAAATAAAGGCAAGTTTTAGCTCAACTCATTAACTAACATTTGGCGAAGGTAGTCGCTTCTTGGTGCCAAGAAGCTCGTCCAAGAAGGTGATGCAATAGTAGCTCATGCAGAATTCATAGAGACGCTAAAGGCAGACATCACAAATGAAGCAAGTGCACTGCATCTCATTTATTTCAAAGAAAAAAAAAATTCTCCTAGAAAAGCAGGAGAGATTATTACGTGCGGTGTCCAAACCGTCCGGATGCGAATCCAGATGCGCCACGTCATCCAGATTCACTAGGAACTGAGTGTGTGGTGCGTCTGAATTCGCCTCCGAACGAATCCGGACGCACCATATCACCCGGATGTACTGGGCCCCGGGAGACGTGAAGCATCCGAATTCACCTCCGGACGAATCCATACGCCGTACATAATAATTTTTTGAAAAGCATAGGCGTGCAACTCTTTTAATATCATTAAAAACAAAACAAAGTCTCTTCATCTTTTAATGTAGAAAATGACTGTGGGCAACCTTAACAATTTTGTTTAAATTAACAAATGCATTTAATTTAAGAAATGACATAATCTTTCTTTTAGTTTTTTAAATGCTGAAAATAATATTTTAAATTTTATTTTTAAAAATGAGTGAACTCGCAAGCAGCAAGCCATATGTCAAATTCGAACTCGAGCTCGACTTTTATGCTTACACTCGTCACTCGATAAGCTAGACTCGCGAGCTCTTTAACAAGTCGAATTCGAGCCAACTTGGCTCATTTACACCCCAAGGGATTGATATTAGCAAAGGCACCATCTTTCTATAATTTGTTATCACCACTATTACAGGAATCCAAATAGTAAAACTGGCTAAGTTTTAATGAAATTTAAAGTGACCATAACATCCTCATTCTACATTTCTCCCAATCCACAAAAGCTGCAGTGGCAGTTTCTTTTCTGAACATATTTTTGAAAAAACAATGGAATATCAATATTCTCTTATGAACCAACCAAAGCCATTATAAATAAAATTAAACATCAGCAATGCTCAACAAAATCTTGTCTTTCAGATCTTAACTTGTAAATCGTTATTCAAATAGCTTTACAATATCATCATCAGCATACTCAAACAATGCCACTGCTACAATAACACATAAAAAAGGGGATGAAAAAATTGACAAAAATCTCAACTGGAAAATAAGAGGCCACAATCCTAATAACAGAGCAACCAAAGCTTACTTTGTAGGGCATAAAAGGCCTTACCAGCAGCACAAGCTGCTCAAGGACCCAATGAGGAAACCAAGACATTTTGTTCTGTCAAAAGCCTTTGAAAATTAGCCAATCTTGTCTGCAAACTCACTATTCCGGCTGCCTTTTGCGATAGAATAGCATTTAATTTTGTAATGTATTCATCTAGCTGATTACCCGGTTGATCAACTTCTTCCAGTAATTTCATTTCCTGCATCAAACACAAGTGAGCAGAAACATGTATACCTATAGTCATCTTAGAGCAAGATAAAGACTTCGTTTGAGACAGTTTTCTTACTGCTTCTTCAAGCAGCTTTTTAATACAATTTTTTTTATTTTTGTACTAAAAAACTGCTTTAAAAAGCAATAAGAAAGCCGTCCCAAACGAAGCCTAAATATATATACTCACCTCCCTAACAATGTTTATCGTCTCCTCAACTTGTCTTCTATGAGCAGTTACCAGATCTTCCTCTTCCTGCAATTATAGCCATTTTTTAAATTGTCATTTCAGAATGAAATTCAAAAGGTGGGATGCGAACTGTACCTTTAAAAGATCATTCAAGTCATCATCTGAATTCAAGTTATTTACATCGACGTCGTAAATATCGGTTCGCTTTGTCTGCAAATTTGTCACTCTCTTCGTCTTCTCCGCATTTATATCGAACATATCGGTTCGCTTTGTTTGTGTGGTAGTGACTCTTTGAGTCTTATCCTCAAAGCTTGCTGCTGAATATGACTCTGTCTTCCTCGAGGACCATTTGCTTTGCTCAGTGGTATCATACTCCTCAGGAGTACTGGAACCTCTACTTTGATTAGAAGAGTGATTGGAGTAAGATGATACTAGTCTTAAGTCCTCTCTAGCAGGTGGAGATGCTTCCTTCACAGCATGCTTGGAAGACACATACTTATTTGTTTCATTAATAATAACTTCACTGTTGCTGGTTTCAGGAGCAGAATAATTAGGCAAAACTGAAGATAAGGGCACAACAGTTGACTCTCTTAGATTTGAAATTTCCTTCTTGGGATTGCTACTTTTAGTTAAGCTCTTCACTCTGCAAAAATCGTACATCTACTCTCTTAAAATTTAAAGAAAACAAAATGAGGAAACTCAGGCATGAAAGTAATGAAGCATCACCTATCAGCATATCTCAATGTGTTAAGTGTGTGTTCGCATGATCCAGAACTTGGAGAAAAACATGAAATCATAACTGTGCGTGAGTCTCCTATGAAGGAATCTCTCAACACTTCAGTCAATTTACTCCCTCTAAAAGGTATATGAACTTGGTCATTGTCAAGAGCTCTAATGCATTCTTTCAAGGCAAGCAAACTTTTGTTGATCTCAGCGCCTTCTATTCTGCATCACAAGTTCGAATTTCATTCAGAAGTGCTTATGGTTTATGGTTTTCGGTTTCATTTGGAACGGCTTTCTTACTGCTTTTTAAAACAATTTTTTAGTAAAAAATTTTAATTTTTAAACTAAAAAGTTGTTTTTGGAAGCAGTATGGAAGCCATCCCAAACAAACCCTTCATGGCTTAAAAGAATGACTAATCTTCAAAAATTACCTGGTCTGTTTATCATTATCAGTGGTGTCTGCACCACGTTCACTGCCAGCTAGGTCTATGAATGACATCTTGCCGATGACTCGAGCTGGTTTTGATTCGTTGTTGTCCGCTAACCTCTTGAAATGTTTCGATTCATTAGTTTCTACTGACTTCTTGATAACGAGCTGAAGTATGGCATGAGATCTTGAGGACTCCTCATTGGCACCAGTTGTACCAGTACTCCTGGTTGCATTTCCCTTCTCAATAAGCTCCTTGATGGTCTCAACATTTGATACTCGATATTCTTGCAAACCCACTATGCAGACTTTCTGTTTACCATCCTCTCTCATGCAAAGCTTTCTAAGGTGGTAAAGGATGTGTAGTCAACAAAAAGAACAAGCAAAAAAAAAAAAGAGAATACCCTCTACAAATAAATTTCTTACAGGCACACCTTCTATCATTTAGCAGATCAAAAAGCTTCCCACCATAAATCTCAAAGAAACTAACGAATAGTAGAAATCCTTGGTTCCGGTATGTATGGTGCATTAATCTTAGAATATCTTGGGAAGCCCGTAGTGGCAGCGGTTGCATTGTGTAAGTCTTTCCGCTGCCTGAAAAAAAAAAATAATAATAATCTTATTTATTAACAGAAATCTAGTAGGTTAAAGGAATGATGAAATGAGTCAGAATTTTGCTGGTCAGGTCTTTTTTAAATGTATATATTAAGATCACATTTGGCCCTACCAATGAAAATTAAAAAGATAAAAACTAACTCTACTTTACCAGTTGTAGAAATGTGACTTAGCATGCACCAAAAATGAATGTCAAAGAAAGATGTTAACAGAGTTGCAGTTTACAATTATTCATAAGAGTGGGTCTCATGAGAATGAATTCCCTTTTACTAAACTGAAACAAAAAAATAAAACTTTCAAGTGATGCCGGCTTAGAGTTTAGGGTCTCTAATGCAAATATTATTATATTAAATGGTTCATATTATGATTATTCGATAATTTTTATGTTGGTTGTCGACTACCTAATACAACTTTTCGCTTTTCTCATCCAAAATTTTGAGACATTGCAACAAAAGTGTTTGAATTAAGGAAAGCAAGTATTCTTATGTGATATAAATAAATCATTTAAAGGAACTTAATAATTCTCATATTATAAACCAAGAAATAAGCCAACTCGCGTCCTTAAACTCAAACAATAAATACGAGAATTAGATTCCAATTGGCAATATAATAATTTACTAAATACGAAGAAATGAACGAGAAATTTTAACTACGTAAAATGAGCGAGCAATTAAAGTTTGAGAACAAATAGATTCTTAGTCATAAAAATTCAAACAAAGTAAAAAAGTACTAGCAAGCCAATAACTAGTTACATAGAAAAATTAGTTAAAGGAAAGAATATATCAATGTAAAAAAATTTAGCCCTCATGCAAATACAAAATATCTTCATTCGAAATTAGGCAATTGCACGTATATCAGGGTCAAAAGAATCACACATCTAATTATGCACACAAGATTAAAAATTAAAAGAGAAATTTAATTCAATCAACATTAATCTAGTTATGTCTCAGAACATCTATTTGTCGGATTATCATCTTAAATTATGTTTAAGGTAAATTTAAAAAGATAAGAATCAACTTCGGCAGCAATTTTAAATCACAAATCCCCTTTTTCTGTAACATCAAAAGCATGCTACCATCCGAAATCCTATAAGCTTTATCAATATAGAAGTTACAGTCAAGGCTTCTCTAAACCTGTAACTCCTATCTACGAAATTTTAGTCAAACCACAAGCCCCAAGAGATAAGCACCGAATATAGTCATAGAAATAGTGCCTATAAAATTATAATCCCAAAAATAATAAAGTGTTATAATCCCACATCAATCTGCCTGGCTCAAAAAATTCAACTCTGAATAATTAAGCTTTAGATATTTATCGAGCAAATCAGAACATAAATTTTGTGATCCCAACAAAGTAATCCATGAGTTATTATAAACAGCTCCGTCTCACCAGTCACCAGTGAACAATATATATATATAATCTACAAACAACAGTGGACATAATCTCATCATCCATACTAGCTTCAAGAATAATAGAATGTCTTGGCAAAGTTTTGGATGTAAATTCAAAAGGAAGAGATGAAAAAAAAAAAAAAAAAACTAAGAACTTAATTAGCAACTAAATTCATGAAATAAGATCAAATTAGATTGATACTAAAATCTTTTAGAATTTTTAATTTATAAGCATTAGTTCCAATGCTACACAATTTTAAAAGTCCTGTTGTACCTGCATTTTTTGTGATGAATTACACACTTTTACGATTGACAAGATAGATGTTTTAAATTTCATATTCCTTTTAAGTCATTTGATATCAATAAATTCCCTGAATTATTGAAACCTCTAAGTTCTACTCATAAGATTCATTCTACAAATTTGCATATTACTAAATCAAGAACAAAAAATGAAGACTACATCAATTTGATCATCATCATAAAAATTATATCATCATATAAATTATCAAGAGTTATATTTTCAAATTGCTCAATTGATTCATCAACTACAATAAAGAAAATTATCTCAAATTCATATTCAAACATAGGTTCAATTTTAATCAGAAATTCAAATTCAATTATGATATCATGCTCATTTTTGCTCTCAAGCTCCAGTTATAATTTTTTATCAATTATAGGTTCAAGTTCATATGTAGATTCTGATTTTAAGTCATCAAATGTAGATTCAAAATAAATCATTTTCTATATCTAAAATATTCTCAAAATAATATTTATATACTACAGCCTCTTGCTTCAGATAATACTCAATTATACATGATTCCTCCTCTATTGGTGTGTATCTAGCAAATTTCAAAGAAGATGAAATTTCTTTTTCCTTAGATATACGAAATCACTATTGTAATAATATAATAAGATTGATTATAACACTCCTAAATATTCAAAGCAATGTATAACACGTAAGATTTTTGACTAATGTGGCTTAGTTTAACCCTAATTTCTCACTTAAGACTTTTAATAAAATAAATAATAGTAAAAAATAACCTAAGGACAAATAATGCTTCGCCACAGGACCTATGATACCTGCATAATATTCAAATAAATCATATTTATTTTATTTATAATCTTTAAATTAATCATGCAATATATCAAAATATTCATCAATGATTAATATTTGATCTTTATATTTCATATCAGTTCGTAACAGCTTAGTTTCAACACTTTGTAGATGATTGAACACATCTCAGTAGTTTTGAGTTGACAAGTTCAACTCTTTGAGAATTGAACAAATCATATTGTTCAAAAAATAAATCTTCGGCATCATTGAAACCTTAAAAAATTTTCTAAGATCATACCTTAAATCGAATATTTAAATATAATTTTAAACCGCATGATAGCTAATAATGTATTCATAACACAACTTACTTCATTCAATTTAAATTAAATAATTTATTATTTTTTAATTTGCCCAATTAATATGTCCTATATTTAATAGACATTGTGTAACCATGAGCTTTGATTTCAATTTCATGCAGAATGATTTAAGGTTAGGATATACTAATAAAATTATTATGATGCGATGCAAGTAAAAATGAAAAACAACTTAAGGACTCGCATATTATAAACCATTAAATAAAAAACCAAAAAATTGCTTTCCTAAAATACAAACAATAAATATAAGAATTAAAACTAAATCAATAATATAATGATCAAATAAACTATAAGAAACTAGCCAGAAATTTGAACCAACAGCAATCAACAAACAAATGCACTTTAATCACCATAAACCAATTCCTGAAAATCAAAAAGCACGAATAAGTGCATGGCAAGTTACGTAATTTAAAAAAATTAAGTCAAGGAAAGAATTCACCTGTGTAAGAAATTCTTGTTTCATACCAATACAAGAAGATGACTTTCCCCGCATTAAATAATTGTACTTACACTGCACTCGAAGGAATCCCTAATCCAACTTTGCACACAAAAATTAAAACTAGAAGAGAAATTTCATTCAATCAAAATTAATCTAATTACAAGCCTCAGAATATTTGTTTATAAACTCTTCATCCTTACATTAGTAGATATAGTTACACACTTACACAAGATCAATTCAAAATAAATTTAAGTTAAACTCAAAAAGATATGAAACCACATCATCCTCAATTTTAAATCCCATATCTCTTTTTCCACAACACCAAAAAGCACGCAACCATCCGAAAACCATAAGCCATATCCAAAGAGAAAGTACGATAAAGGCCCATCTAAGCCTATAAATCTTATATCAATCTATCATAATCGTAAGTCCCTAACATAAGCACCTATGGGTATTTTTATCAAAGGATTTGAAAATAACACTTTGCAATTGATTACGATATAAAGAATAATATACCATCACATATGATAGAAATACTATTCTAGAATAGACTCATACAAAATTAAATTTTTAAAAAGTATCAATATTCCTAGAGATCTTAACATACTTGATATGTCAGAATCAAATAGTGTATTTTATTTTAGGTTAAATATTCCCTATAAAGACAAGCATTTATAATTAATTATATTTGAAGAGAGGTTATCACTTGAGAATATTTTTTATTAAAATAATGACAAATATTTTCATGATTTCAAAGTTTAACGAAGGAAGTGATCTTGAAATTTCAAGTGGAATTGGCTGAACCTTAGCACAATTTTTTTATATGAAAGCCAAAGAAAAAAAAAGAAATTAGAATTGAAAAAGCTTAGAAATGCTCAAAACTATTATATGTTGGACTTTAATAATTTAAATATTAAACTTATGTTTTGACTTTTGATTGACCAATTTACTTAAAATGTGATTCTTATATTTCATCAAAACAAAATTAATAAAAGGCTCATGAAGTGAAAACTTATAACAAAACTATAAAGAACATCAACCTTTGATCCTAGATCTAAGTTCAGAACAACCGCTAAGATAATAACCTGAACCTAAATCTACCATTTGCATGTGGACTTATAACTTGAAATCCCACCAATGGCTAAATATGCTCAAAACACAGGACTTATAATCATGGTTGAAAATATCTAAACCACCTAATCATTTTTAAAATTATGTCGTCAAAGTTTGTTTGCAAATGCAAGATAGGGTAGGTTATCTTTATTAAGGACTTAGGACTTAAATCTTAGCCATTGAAACAAAATGAATCAATCATATGAGTATTAACGCCCCCTAGTTTATGCAAATTTTCTTTAATTGTATGCCCGTAAGTGAGCTAGACTATTGTTTCTAAAATGATACTCACAACGTCATGCATATGAATTTATTAGCTAAGAAATGGATTTGATATTGGCCTTGCCGCCTTGAGCTTCAAAACATTACCATGAGGTTCATCCTTCCTTGATCATCAATTAGTAATCCCACAGGCCTTACATTGCTTTTCTGATGGGGACATCCAACCGTGAAAAGTTTATCAGAGAAGAGACCGAAGATCTACAGTCATGATTGGACCACTTTATTTTTTAGTTATTATTTGTATTTGATTTATTTATGCAATTTTTCGTTTTTACCCTCACTTGAGGGAGTAGGTTCATGTGACCCCAAGGGATACTTTCGTCTTTAGAGTTGTTATTGTATTTTGGTTATTTATAGCCCCCTTCTCCACTTTGGAGGATGATGATTATTATTAGAATAAAATTTTGCATTGTGTTTGAGAGCTTGAGAGTTTTTGTGAGAGTTGAAGTCCCTAGCTGAAGGCAATGTATTATCCGTCAGTTGCAAGAAGCATTCGGGCTCGTGATCCATCTCCTCCACCAACTTCTTCTCCTTCTTTCTCTTAGACGCCACCCCATCCTCCTTTCTTTTTTCCCTTGGCCGAAATTCCCCACCCAAACCTTAGGCAGACCCCCACCTTTCCCCATCCTCCCTTGGCCAAACTCCACCCCAAACCCTAGGCCGACCCCCATCCAACCGCCGGCCCCACCTCCCTTCCCTAAGATGCCGGCCCCATCAATCCTCCACTTGGATCCAAATTCATCCAAGCATTTACTACTTTCCTAAATTATCTCATTGTAAATTTGGAAGGTCAATTAATTCAAATTTGAATTTGAAATTCCTTCTTTAAATAAGATGAGTTATTTTAGGAAAGTTCCTCTAATCAAAGCCATTTAAATTTGAATTTAAATTAGAGAGATAATTGTATTAAATTCTCTTTCTTAATTTAAATTGGCTTAGATTGGCAACTCATTTAAGTCCATTAATTCCCTCAAATCTTCATTAAATCATGTGGGCCCCTCCCCTTCTCTCTTGGCCGCCCCCCTCCTCTCTCTCTCTCTCTCATCTAATTATGAGGTCCATTAAAGCTCCCCAATCAATCCATCAATTCCCCATCTAATTGCCCCTCTTCCCTCCCCTTCCTTCTTTATTTTTTGGGAAATTCAAATTCAAATTTCCCAATCACTTCCATCCTTTAAAGCTGTAATTAAATTTCAGAATTTTGAGTTGGTTTCCCTCCCTCAATCAACACACAAAATCTGAAATCAATTTCCCCTTTTCCCTCATAGCTTGGGCCGCCCACTTAGCCCCACCCCACCTTCTCTATATACTTCTTCTCTTATGCTTGATATTTCACCAAAGGATGAAGAAGTAGATCCTCCTCCCTTGAACAACTGCATTTCAAACTCCTCGAGTATTGCAACCCTTCAACGACGACAAGGAGTGTTTTCTCCAAGGCAAACAACAGATGAACATCGCCCCAATCCTCAAGAACATTGGAGCACAAGTTCAGGAGCTTGACGTAGTTCCACATCAAGATTAGAAACTTGACGAAGGTGAACTCTCTTCTAATCCTTCCTCCTAACCTCTCCTCTATCGTAGCATCATTAAAAGTTATGAAAGCTTCTCTGCTTAGCTGTTATAATGAGTATGTGTGAGGGATCTTAATAGTGACTAGTCTTGTTATTAATCAAGGGATTTCTTTTGAAAACCCCACGTTAAGCAAAGTTGAATTTACTTTGATTGTTTTTGTGCTCCAAATTTTATCTTGTAATCAATTGCCTAAGCCTAATCATTGCTTTATGATTTTCAATCTCTTGTTTAATCCATAGGGAGTTCAATAAATGTTATTGCTCTGTCACAAAGCGTGTACTTTCAAAGTTAATACATTTGCCTATGCATGTAGCTCTACATCATTTTCTATTCTAAAGTATATTTATAAAAGATTGAAATTAGATAACTACCCCTACAAAATAAAAGTTATAACAAAAAGGATGTACATATCATTCATTCACACAGAGCTTATTATAACATGTAAGTATAGGTGCACACAATAGTTTATCACCAATCATCACATCATATGCAAAAAAGAAAAAAAAAACCGTCTATATTCTAGCCCTACGATGTTTAAGGGTGTACCTATTACACATCTAGTGTGTGCTAAGTTGTATGGATGTCACACGATTCATTAATGAAATATATTTTTTTTAAAGAGATTTAATTTAAATTCAGGGTTGACATGAATTCAAGCAGTCAGCAATTTATGGATTTTATTTTAATTTTAAAATGAGGGATTTGATACTTTAATATGGTTATAAAGGCTCTCTGAATGAACACTATTCACCTAAAGGTGAACAATATAATGCAATGTGTCCTAAGATTAGTTAGATATAATAAGATGTGCACCTTATCTTGGGTGAGGTGACACCTCACTACATCTTGGAGGGAAGAACAAAATCGATTTTATGTTTTTTTAATAATTAGGGCTTTTAATTTTGGCGAAAGGCAATTTTTTATTGAAATTATTAATGAATTATTAAATTTCAAAGGATTATTTAAATTTTAACAATTCAAGTGGCTTAACATTCAATCCCAAAATCCCATGAAAATGAAACCATAGGTTAAACATGTGTTTAGGTTCATTCCATCATTAATTTAAAAGATATTCAAATCAAATTTATTTTTATTATTTGAAATTTATCCTATACTTAAAGAAAATAAGAATCCTACCTTCCAAAACCTAAATTAATCTGAAATGATTTTATTACTCTTCTCTATATTTTTTGTGAAGTTATAAGTTTTTATTTCTCATTTTTCTTATTTTTATAACTTTGTGAATTTTCAAAATTCCAAGGTGATTAATTTTTCATTAATAAAACCTAAGATTGTGTTATTCTCATTTTATATTCATTTGAGCTTCAAATTTTATGAAAATTTTTCTAGAGCTCAAGGACAACCCAAGTATCAATTCATAAAAATTTTGAAAACATTTTGACATTATTTTAATTTATTTGAAATTATTTGAATTATTAAGAATTCAAAATTTATAAAATGAAGAAACCAAGCTTTATCATTTGAAATGATCTTTCCTCTATTCTATGAATTATTGAGACTTTGTGAAAATCCTATGGATTTAATATTTTTAAAACTTTTATTGATTAAAATATAAATTTCTTAAGAATAAAGCCAATCAAACCAATTATGAAAATAGTCAAAATACTATTGATTTAATTTTCTTCCAAACCCTATAGGATTGTAACCAAAGAGTACGGAGGACCTCTAGAACAATTCATCAAGATTTGGAAGCCATTAAGATCCATTAGGGTATGTAATAATTTATCGAGAGAAATTTGTTATAAATCATAACAATATCATTAATATATTGGATCAATCAAGTCAATATGAGATTACATAATCATGAACTCTCAATCGAGTATACCACCCATCTCCATTCATACTCTACTATCAATATAAACCTAAATTCTACCAAGCAATTCGCAGAGTGACATCCTTAAATGAGAGCATTCTCAAATATCACACTTTAGATTTAATTAACGAAGCGGACTTGGACCCATAGGAAATTACGATCTCATATTTCTAATATAAATATTGATAATGCCAAATTCTATATAAGAAAAACCTTTAGAAAGTAAAATTATTTCCTTTTAAAAATGTCATCCAAGAATTTGGTTTTAGACTCTAAAAGTGTACATAGGGAGGGATCATCCCTTCAGCTCATTAGCATTTTCAGAGCCCATAAATTTTTTTATAACTTCATTGGAGTATCTAAAAGCTTTGCAAGAAGTTTCAAAGTCCACTTGTGAGTAAATTGTTCTTTAACATGATGGATTTTTAATGCCATCTCTGGTGTGTAGGAACCAATGGTTCCCAATATTAACTTGAAGACAGAATTACTTAATTTCTGATTGCTCCTGCTTTCTCTCCATTAGTTATGAAGGAGGAGAGTATGGGTAAGCAATGGATTTTTTATGATCAAACCACACAATACATTATCATTACAAAGATTATATCAAACAGTCATAACAAGGTACCAACCTGAACCGATTGCTTAAAAACAAGTACAAACTTTTGTGTGTCATATAGTTGATGCGGCTGAATCATTGACAACCAAATTGTTTAAGAAAAATTGAGTATGCTTAGAAAACACCATATTTGCTTCTATCCTTTCACATTCCATTCAACAATCAAACAACCATTAGACTTTGACAATCTATAGTTAAAACATGCATGTGAGATGAAATGTAGCCCATGCCGTCTAAACTCTAAAGTGATACAAAAATAAAGTGAGAAAAGCAGCCTCTACAAAACCTACCATATAACTCAGTGGATGGGACCCATGGGAACCATGAAAAAAATCGTAATCGTGTTTATCAAATACTCAAGCAAGCAAGCACTTAATCAAATGGCCACATAGCAAATTATTAAAAAGCTATCTGTCGTTTGGCAAATATTTTCTAAGCTTGCGCCTAAGAATTGAGCGCAAAATAAGATAGAAAATTCTGGTGTCGTAAATTTGTAAAGAAAATAAAAACAAAAATATTATAAAATCTCAAACATAAGTACATACCTGTTTGTCCATAAGCAAAACAAGTTGCCTTTGTGCGCTGAAAGATAGCTGGGATTATTGGCTCCACTGTCTCGCGATATACCTAGAGCATACAAGTTTAGAAGGACCTATAGATATAACATCTATAACTAATTAACACTGAACTTTATTATAGCTTACTTCATCATTTGAGACATCCTCATCGAGTACAGCATCAAACACAAATTCATGCTTCTCAACATATTCTGTGAGGTCTACCTACATCCATAAATCCCAATAAACATAGACAATCAATATAAATTGTTACTTGTTAGTGAAATCATAAATCAATTTGGGAATAGGGATTTCTATCTATTTGGTGTTTTTGTGATAATCTATCAACTACTAGCAATAATTTGAAGGCTTTTACTTAATAAAAATTTCTCGGTAAACAATTTGGTTCTTTATATGTCTCAATATTGTGTGTGAACATTTTCTTCCTGAATTTAGATATTCAACAAGGGAGAAAAATTTTAGCTAGGGTAGCTTTTCTTCCCAGGTTAATTAGGTTACAAACAACATCCATGCAGTCTAATCAATCACTTGTGCATTAAGACTGTATATTCACCACTGTTTCAAAGAAAATCAAAGCATGGTCTGCGTTCGAAGAAATCAATCACCAAATCTCACAACAACTAAACAATTTAACGCAACTTAACTCAGCACAAGTGCTACTGCACAATCATAGGTGAAAAAAGACTTACCATGAAAATAAGCTGCACCTTGCAAGTAATGTATCAAGCATGTTAAACATTAAAAAAATAGCAAGTAGTAGCAAGTAGTGTTAAGATAAATGTAAGACAAGATTAAGAAGGATAAATTAAATAAAAATTACACTAGAGAAATTGCTAAATTAATATATTGCAAGTGATTTGGATGTACACATTCAAGAGGATACACCATTAGACAGATAAATAAAAAACACGTCAAAGAACTAAGAAATTTTTTTGATAAACCTAATGTACCGCTAATAGATATTCAAAATGATTTACAAAGAATAATAAAACCTCATGCCGCATTAATTAGAAACAAATGGCAAATAAAATTTATAAAATCAAACTAGATAGTTAGGACATGGCTACTGTTGTTCTTGATAATGATGATGATGATGATGATAATGCGAGTGAACTTTTTAAGAAGAATTCTACAAGACTTTAAAATTTTTCAATGGTTCATTTAACTTATCCTTTGTTCATGCAAATGTTGCCTATACATGAAGTAAGTTAATTCTACCCCTAGAAAGAAATTTCCTTTTTCTAACCAAAGAAAAAGGTGCCCTCTCCAATTCCTTAGATTTTGCACACCAAGACATTTGTACATGGCAAAGAGAAGGGATGAAACTCATTTAACCCATATTGGTTTAAGCTTTGATCATGTGTACATTGCAATGCACGCATCATTATAAATCATCTATACATTATAGCATTTAGGTGAACAAAAGCAAAGTGCATAAACGTTTGTAGCAATGTAGCATGAACGGATTTTTAACAAAGATACTAATGAATGTCAAACAACTTAATTCTTGGGATATCCAATGCCAAAGTTCGAGCAAACCAAGAATAAACTAGTTGAATTACCTTCAGTTTGGTCTCATGAACTGTAAGAGAGTTGGTGTGCTGTTCAATTGCGATGATGTCCTCCTCTTTCCTTGATATTTCCTTCTTATTAAGGGGTCGTTTCCGCACCTGCATCAGATAGCACCAAATTCCTTTCTAACTGAGAAAATGTAACAAGACATCATCTAGCTGATGCATGAAAATGAGATGTCAGTTTTTTGGTCTGTCAATCTCGATGGAAGAACCTTGTTAACATCGTCCACCAAAAATACAAATGCAAGTGAAGGCAAAATGATGGAAAGCTAAGGAATAAATTGCCGGTGCCTATCCAATTATATAAATAGTCATTAAAAAGTATGGCAAAGATTTAAGAGTAGAGATCAGCATATCCTAAAAACGTACCACTACTTTAATCTTGGCAACAGAACCCGGCTTGTCCTTGTCTAACGCAAAACCCTTCGCGAGAATATTTTCTGGCATAGGAGGAGCCTTCCCAAAATGCTTGTTAGAATAAATGTTAGACTCCGACTCATCAAAGCCACGCTCTCGCGAATACACAAATGACGTCGCACCATCATAGAATCCAGTAGCCGGAATCTTCCACACCAACAGTAATTCAAATAATCAGGAAACATCATTAAATTCCAATGGAAAGCCGAGTCTACCAGATAAATGTATCATCCTCCAAACAGAAATATGTTAATAACTAAGAAGAGAACTCTTACATCTGTAAGCAGCTCAGTGTCGATCGAATGGAGATCCAAAATCCCAGGACTGAGTTCGCTCGGCGAGACATCATCGCCGGTCTTCTTCTGGCTGGACGACCTCGAGCTCAATGGCGGCGTCGAGGTATCCACGGGTAGCATGAACTCGCCGCTAATTCCCCTCTGTGCGCTCCGCAACATCCTCGAGTACTCCACCTAGACCAAAACCCCATCCGATCTAAAAATCCACCAACAGTAAATAACTACTGCCTACCTAACCATTAACGTAAGATCGAACACACCAACCTGTTGCGAAGAAGAGAAGCCGGAAGACGAGAGGCTCTGTATCCATTTCCCGCCGCCACCTCCGCCTGAAGAGAAAGAATCGACGAGGAACTGGTCGGGGGAGTACTGCCGTTGGTGCTGATGGCCCGATCGCTGCATCTGCCTTCCTCCCACCGCTGCCGCCGCGTTCATCCTTTGCTCTTTCTGGTCTCTTTGGAGGTTCGATTTCAGTCGAGGGGAGTCGCCGGCGACCAACGGAGGCGACGGAAGGCAGAGAGAGAAAGGGTCGAATGGGAGATCTACTTGAGCTACTTTGAGAGGTCTGTTAGTAAAAAGCAATGACAATGCTTACAGGTGACAAATGCCGACGAAAAAAATATACGGTTTTGTTTTTTTATTAATTAATTATTTACGTCTCCGGAGATTCAAAACTTTGAAATAGCAGGCCGGGCGGAGAGGGGGTTACATCCCATGCAATGTGGCTTGCATCATAACATAAAATATAACGGCTTTAAGGCTTTCGGATCATTTTGAGATTTGTGGGTAATAAACGGCTTATTTTGCACCAAGCTTATGAAAAAACTAAATAATGTTGTGCTCTTTTAAATAGATTGATCATGTCATATCACATATCTCTTCATTCCAAACAAAAAAAAAATTATATCTATAACACTTTAAATTTTATTATTTATAAATCTAACATTTTAAACTTGATATTTATTATATATCACAACTAAAATCTCTCAAATACTTTAAAAATAGACCTTCATTATAAAATCATTTGCTCTTATATTTAATATCTCATGCTGAATCATCCTCAAGAACCTCTCTCTCTCTCTCTATCTCTCTCTCTACCCCTGACATGTAGTTATATTGTTCGCTTGTACGTATCATTGTTTGTTTCATCTTGATTTTAAATTTCAAAAGAATGGATTTAATTCCTAGATTGAGCTCATCATAACACTTCATTGAAGGTTAAGGCCCTTTGTCTCAAATGTTGAATTAAATGGCAATCTCAATACAAAATTTTAATAGTTGAGTTTGTGAAAAACATCATAACATTCCATTAAAATAATTAATAATAACTTGGAGAATAAGTACTTTCTTCCATTACTATATATATGAAGTTGTTGCATTCAAGAGGGTAAGCCTTAGATGGCATATTTAGTTCATAGATGATAACTATAAGTGAGTTTCACTACTCATAGTGAAAAATTCTTAATATAAATCATAGTACCCATAATACACTGACTAATGAGAACATGTTTTTTTCATTTAAAAAGGTTTTTCATCAGCTTCAAGGTTTCCATTGATGGATTTATAATTAGTTGTAGACATTTAATTGGTATTGATAATTGCCAATTGAAATAAATTTATTTAGGTGTCTCACTCTCTACAAACTCTTTAGTTGATAATAATGGCCTCTTTACCGTAGATTTTGACTTATTGAATCTAAATCAAAGAAAGTATATGAACCTAGTTGAGTCACTTAGATCTAAATTACATCGCTAGTCTTTTGGTTCAAATATAGATAAGGTTTTGACTAGGCTGTCAAAATTGTTTCTCCAGATACAAAGCATAGGCTTGCTTACGCCACCTATGGAAGAACATGAAGTTCTTTTATTGTAATGAGGGTCATAAGCTTCAAAACTTGGTATGGCCAATTGTAAATGCTTGCACTAAATCAAAATTGATGCAAATATGAATGTGTTGATCTGAATTTATTCATGGATAACACCTGCCTTTACTAACAAGTAATATTCTAGATAAGAACTTGAGAACTTAAAGAGACTTTGGCGAGTAAGGAGAGTGAGGGAAAGAAATTAGAGTGCAATGTATAATAAAAAAATAACAAGAGATTCTAAACATGTCCAAGTATTCGGAAGTAACAAAATATCCCAAATGAGCTTCCTCTCCCTTTATTTATAGGGCTTAGAAGATTACTAGGAAGGCTACACATAATACATAATAAAAAATAAAAGTACAATATTAATTATGACCCATTACAAACTATACATAACATGTGCCACGAGCTAATAAGTGCTTTTGTATAGCCTTGGTTCCATGATGAGTTCCTTAGAGGAGTCTTTAAGAAAAAACCATGCATGATGCATTTGTGTGAACGAGTCCTTTGGTTAGGGAGGCGAGTCCCTAGGGCTCTCCTTCGGCCTCTGAGCACAAAGGCAAGTATCTTGACGTGATGATAACTATGAGCTAAGAATTGTCCTAGTTTGCGGGGCCGTAGTTATATACCCCAAAAGTGTGCACGTTCTATAATTGAATTGGATGATGTTAATGAAAACATCATGATTGTATCGATGGTGAGTGGCATTGGGAGGCTGACCTATATCGAGAAGAGTTCCTCTCGTATTTGGAATAATCTATTCGAGTTCCCTAATATGCATGCCTAGGATGATTCCTTAATTTAGTTGATTTGGATGAAGCACGTCTCTTGCTTGTGAGTGCCATAATTAAATAGGTGATGTAACTGCTTTGGATGATTTCCCTTATTGAAACCTAAAAGGCACTTGTGAAACGCTTACATAAGCATATACAAGTATATAGTGTAATGCCTCAATATCTAAATTTGAAAAAAATTATCTATTTTTTATCTTTTAATTAATTTGTTAGAGTCACTAAATATTCATTATTTTAAATAAATTCAACAAAAGCAACTATAAATTATATAAATCAAAATGTTTTTATATTCATTCATTCAAAATGCAATGTAAAATAGATAAGAGAATTTAACAATATAAATATATCGTTTTTAATGCTCTTAATTGATTACAAAAAATAGAACAAAATACACAAATAAAAGAAAACTGAAAATACAGATCACCTCACTTGAGAGAATTTTTTACCTTTTTCTAGACAAAAAATTAATAGAAATGATATAATGAGCTTACAATGTCCAGTTGGTTACCAAAATCCTATTACTACATTCAATGTAAGGCAAAAGAATCAATATGTATGCTCAAATTCTATTCAATATCAATAAATAAACTATCAATATGAATGATAAATAATCTATGCAATTAATAACAATCCATATAAAAATTAATATGATCAATAAAATAAAAGTATCTCACTAAGAAAATGTGTCTATCAATCTATAAGAAAACTGGTAAAAAAAGTCTATAAATTTATAACAAGTGTTGAAATTTTAATAAATATTGATTATCTATCAGTTATATTCATCTATCAGTTATATTCATCTCGATGACTCTATTATATGCATCTATCAATCAGTATATCATGTATACCTATCTGTCAGTATATCATATCAGTATGACATGTCAATATATTTATTAATACATTATACTTGTACAATTATCAATGTTTAACAATATATATATCATATGTTATGTCATACTATATCAATCTCAATGCTTCTATCAGTCTTATATATATAATCATGTAAATATAAACATTTATATAATTATGAATAACAAGACAAAACATCTCATTTTAAAGTGATGTTTTTATTCTTCAATATATCATTCATCGGACATATCAATCCATAATTATTTGCCAATCATATCTTTTAATTATTTATATTAATGATTTTCTTTAACATATGGCTTTCAACAAATCAATAAAGATTCATCACTCACTACTCATCGGCATAATCAGTCAATTAGTTATATACTAACATCTAGGATTATACCACCAATATTTATTTTTAGAAAAGTTTGTTGGACTACCATCCTATATAGAGTATTATTATTTTAATAGACAATCCATATTAATTATGTCGTTCACAACTAATATTCATTACTTACATAAAAAATGTCATATTTATCATATATCAATCATACCATTTTTTTTAAACAAGTCAATATCATGTATGAAATGTAATATTATATAAAATATAGGAAATTCTATACACTATTCATTAACTTCAAAAATACACTACTATCAATATATTTAGTGAAATTCAATATTTCAATATTAATACGTGCAGAATAATTAAAATTAAAACATATTAAAAAATATAAAATGGAAGTTTACTAAAAATTGAGATATCACAACTTTCGTAAGTTTTGATCAAATTAAAATTAAGAAAACCAAACATAAGTAAAATCACCGAGATTAGATGTAGGGTAATGATATCCTACATTGAGGCGAGCAAATTTCTGAATTAAATTGATCGGTAAAAAATGGCTCTAAGATCTATAAACCCTCGCCTCTCTCTCTCTCTCTCTCTCTCTCTCTCTCTCTCTCTCTTCTTATTTTTCCTCTTCTCCTTCTTTAGCTTGAGAAAAAATAAATTAAAGGAAAATATGATAAGTTCTGTAAAGTGAGTAATATATTTCTAATAAAATAAGCTAAGGACATAGCGGTAATTATGCCAATTATTTAGTTTTAAGCATAAAATTCATACAAATTTTTTATATCTTCAAATATGGGGATAAAAAAATCATAAAATAACACAATATGTGTAGAAGGTTATGGTAAAATCATTTTGTAAAACGGATACCAAACGGTCCTAAAAACCTACTTGTACCGATATATGTTAATTTCTTAAGGAATTACAAATAAATAACAACCTTCTTGTTTTCATATATACACTACCCATAAAATTAGAAAAAAAATGATTAGAGCGCAAAAATATCTATGATACAGTTAAAACAATATGAAAATTAGATTTATATTGACTCATAAAATATTATTTAACTATTGTATGTCAAAATATAAGCTATTACATATAGGATGAACTATTCATTATTTTCCCACAAGTTCACTCATATTTATTATCTTTCAGTCTAAGTGGTTAAAAAATGACTTTTTCAATTGAAATAAAAATTCTTACAACACAGACAACATGTTATAATAAGTCAATTAATGGATTTGAGTACAAGAAATGTGATAGTAGTTACCTTGGTTGACATGATCAGGCGAATACATATGGAGCAAAGAGTTGAGAGGGAGTTAACCTCTTTGGCTTGGAGAGGAGAACTAGTGCAACATGCTAAAGTGTATATTAGAGATATAAACATAAGGAAAGAAAAACTCATTAACATGTCATCAAGATAGTATAATAGTCAATAAACTAGTTATATTTGTTATATTTTGATATATTATTCACATTTTAATTTTGATCTCAAATACAAAATGGCCTACGAAAGCTCAATATATATGCTCCAAAGGAAATACCAACATGTTGTGGTTAATAAAGAAGAGGATATTGAAAAATTTTTAAGATATAAAAGAAAAAAAAAAGAAGATTTTGCACAAATGTGAACGTTGGGGACATCACAAAACTTCTTGCAAAAATTTACTTAGTCAAACAACTTCGCATATGCTTTAAATTAAGGAACTCTGCTTTATTTTAAAAACAAATAATACG